AGCACGAGCCTACAGTACTGCACCATTGTGGGTTGAGCTCCTGACAATGTAAACATCACATGGATGAACACTTGGCTTTTGGTCACACTGACCATTATCCTTTTAAGCCCTTAAAGCCTGCCTCTCAATAAAGAAGAACTTGTAAGTAAAGTGGTAACATAATATGACTGTTCCATATTTTGGAGAGCCAAAACATGTACTGTATGCATCCAAAACACTTTGCAGTAAATACACATCTACCCTTTGTGCAAGTGATTGTGTATTCTAACCTAATTCATGTAATCTTTCTGGGTAAATATTGGGTCCATTTTCTTTTCTGTTAGCACCAGCTAAACTGTGGATTGAAAAAACAATACCTTACATGATGACAGCATAATAATATGTACACACTGATAGTTGTGAGCAGTTTGTGTATAGATTTACCAAACTGTGTAAATCTGCTTTCTTTAAATATTTATGAATGTTTCCAGCATGCCATGACGTTATCTGAAGTTCGTTTGGAATATACAGTAACTACATTAACATCAAATATATTTACTTCCCAAAACAACATTCATTGTGTATCACTGTAGCCATGCAACCACAGTAGTGTTAATCTGACAGCTGTCAGTTTCCTGTCAAAACCACAATTTCTTTTTTCCATTTATCTAAGGTAAAAAAATGAATTGTAAAGGTAGAAGATGGCAACAAACCTCCCTGTGGATAAACAGAAGAAATGGCTACATACATTGAGAAAAACAAACGACTGCTTCCAAATAAGTAGTTATGAGCAAATTCTATCAAAGTCTATCTATTAAAAGCCAAAGGTAATTTTTTCAGAAGATGAGATATACAGCTATAATTACTTGATCCCAGAACCAAGAACAAGCTGAAGTTTGAGAGATATTTTCAGATATTGTTTATGTTATTGACAGTAACTGATAATAAAATATATCACAACTACTGTATTCATTTTAGATTTAAGGTCCTTATTGCATCATTTTTTAAATTTTGATTAATTAACTTCACAGTAATGTTCAAAGACTGTGCAGACACTGAGGAGCATAATATCTGTAATTCATGTTAATAAGAATGCATGTGTATGTAAGTAAAAGTCAAGATAACTTCAGAGAGAGTATCAGTGATTCTAAAACTATTTATAACTATTTGTTCTATCTTGTGTATATTTTTTATAGCTGTGAACAGCCTATTTTGAATTACTTCCCTGTTTAAATGGCCCTTGAAGAAATTTCTTTTCTGCAGCAACTGCTCACACATTCATGCAGGTTGCTGCATTAATGTGGAAACAATCTGGACCTATGGAGTAAGAATTGGTGGAATGCAGTTACTTAGAATAGGGGGAGGAAAAATCAGGGTTCCAGTAATCACAACACAGATGTTTCAAGAACCCAGGCTTTTGATGGACGTCAAAGCTCATGACGGGAAACATAAAGCAGTCATCTTCAGGGGAGACAGTAAGTCTTTGCAATGGGAGTTCTGTTTAGTTTGATAAAAGAGGTCAGAAGTCAAAAGAATCAACTTCTCTGGAATGACTTTCAGATGAGTATGTTTCTGTAACCCCATCAAATCTATCAACAACAACTTTAAGGGCTAAGAACCCGAGGTGCTTCTCTGAGCCTCTTTGCTTTACCCATATTTTAAGTGCACTTGACTAGTAAATAAAAATGTTTGTGGCCTATATATATATCTAAATCTATATATAGACAAAGTATCATTCAACACTCAAACACTCAAATTCAAGCACTCAAACACTGTCACTTTAAATCATCATCAACTGTTTTTAATACAATGGCATCATAAGTCTTTTACACTTATCTGTTTTTTTTTCCTGCTTGTTGTATGACACTATCATCTCTCACTTTCTCTCTTCCCGAGTTATGTCTTAATTTTACAACACTCTACAGTAGCTGTGTAAGTTGTAAAATGTTGCACTAAATTAATTTGGTTTGTGTGTCACAGAGTGCTGCAGCTACTTGAAAATGTTATTTTTGTTACCATAAGATGATGCTAAATGAAAAAAAGCAGATTTATACAGTTGTTGTTTTTTAAATAAGTACTTGAGAATGACTTAAATAAGCTATATCGAGAGTGAACAAATTGACCTAGTTCAGTAAATAAGAACTATGTGGCTCACTACACTACTGAAGAATTTCCCAGAAAAGAAATGTCCAAAAAATGTGAGATTTTGTATATATGACAATAATTGAACCACTGTGCTTGTTGGATTGATCTCCTGTTTCTTAGTTTTTTTTATGATCAGATTAAAATCTAACTTATCCACACTATCCATCAAATAAGTAAATAAAACTAAATCGATATTCAACAAACTATTAAAGAGAAATCTTTCATTCTGGTTGCTTAAGGCTGTAAGGAATGTCGAGAATGTCGAATCCATGATTAAAGTCGCTTCAAAGGCTACGTCCACACTAGCCCGGATGGATTTGAAAACGGCGTTTTCGTCTGAAAACGCTCTGCGTCCACACTAGCGTTTTCAGTCGTTTTCACAGAGTTGTGCGTCCACATTGAAAACGCTTACGTTCCAGTCCTGCGCATGCGCAAATGCGAGTGAGAATTAAAGAATTTGAAGAAAAGCTATCTGGAGCATGTACAAACTGATAGTAATCTTTTTTAGGGCTGTCAAAATTGAGAGCAATCAAAACAACTGCTGTACAATGCCCTCCGCTATCTTTGTTTAATTGGTCACATGACTGCGTCACATGACTAAAACGCATCATCGTTTAAGAAAGTCTGCGCTTTCGAGTGTCCACACTGTGAAGGGACAGCTCCGTTTTGAAATGTATTCGTTTTCGAGAGCGTTTTCAAAACGCTGCGTTTTCCTTGGGGAAAATGCCGTCTCAGTGTGGACGGGAGGCCAAAACGGAGAGAAAACTATGCGTTTTCAAACAAAAACGCATTAGTGTGGATGCAGCCAAAGTCATTTGAAATCTCTCTTCAGGAGTGCTAATGGTCCTATCACTCTCTTTAGCATCAAAGACCCCCTGAGACCTGTGACAGCGGGTGGTAGGTAAGCAGTGGTCTCACTCTCTCTTGTGAATACACAAATAAACACACCCACTCAGACACAGAGACACCATTTGAGTCCCAAATTAGTGTTAATCAGGAAACATCAAAAGGGAGTGACAGCATGTATCAAGCACCTTTTTTCCCTTACAGCAGGCCTTCTCAATCAGTTCAAATTTACTTTGATGACACAGAAACCCTGCGGTCTTATCACATATCTTGGGTGCATGTGGAAACTTTGATAAAAAAAAGGAAGGTCATGAACTTAATAAACTTTTCTGGTCAAGTTTCAAGGTTTTTTGGTGGGTGTATAACATTCTTCAAAACAATAATAATACTTTAGAAGGAATAGGCATATAATGAGCAAACTGCCAATAACAGGAACTAAAAGGAGCCAGTAAAACGCATCACATCAGCAACACAGCTGTGAAGTCTTTTGTCACTTTCCAAGCAAGAACACAGCCAACTGTGTTTATTTGAATGCATGACCCAGGCTAAGGTAACAGAAATCCATCCCTGAGGTCTGTGGAGATTGATGACAAACCAGATGTGTGTGGCTCAAAAGAGCTCTTTCAGGAAACATAAAAGTACTCAGTTATGCCTTTTTATCTCTTGTATAGATGTGAAATGGTTCATCTTCAAATGGAAATTTGCCATGGGGAGTTTTGACTAAGAAAACTCAAGTAAGGACAGAACTCAATGGCTTCATTTCACCCTATATCATCTAGAACATCTTAACTCAGCTTAATTGTTGGGCAAGTTAAAGTTTGAGCAAACCTGTTCTAAATTAAGTCCCACGGGTCTCAAGGGAGATTCAGATTTTTCCATTAAGAGTGTTTCACAGTGCCAATAACAGAAACAGAGCTTTTAAGACGTGCTTTTGTCCGATAACAGTCAGCAAGGTCCCCACAAGAGCTGTTTCATGTATATTTATCTCCAGTTTGTTATGCATGACTTATTATGACTAACCGACAAACAACACAGCATCTGATCAGAACCTGTCAGATGAAAAAAAAAAACCCAAGCATTCCATCCCAGTTGGTCTTAAGATGTTGGAATTATTGCTCCTTTTGACTTTTAGACTACAAGTTGGACCTCTGAGCTATCCATCTCTGCCATAACAGGTGAAGCCTGTGTACCCTAAATTCATACAGTTAAACTTAACTATCTTGTGTTCGATAAATAACTAAATCACTTTGTTTCCCGAAGGTGTTACTAAAGTCTGCTAAAATTGTAACAGTTACAGTTGATTTTTAGGGCTTGAGTAGGGTGGATTGACGCCTGCCGGCAGAAGACAGAGTCAAGGCGTTTTCTTTGGAAAGACGCCAGCACTACAAGAAATGCTTCAACATGCTGCTGGTGGTTTGGTCATCTGTAATACTCACACTGACAGCACAAGTGTTTTCTCTTGAATAACCGATGCTGGTTAGAATGAGTTTAGATTTGATTTGGGGGAGGAAGACGCAGAGATTCGATAAAGAAATCTAAAATAAGATCATAAGAACACATTCTCTATAACGAGATCAGCGTGGAAAATCTAAACAGATGTCAGCCTTTATAAACTCCTACACCCAACGCCCATTTATTTTTTTCCTCTCACTCCCATTTACAAGTGTTGTTCCAATCCCAGAGTTTGATAAAGAGCCCAGTTCTGGCGCAACAAGTCCTTCATTCCAGCCGCGTCCCTGTTCTCACATCCTCTATAGACGCACAACTGCGCGTCTCCCGTTGAAATAACGGTGCGCTGAGGGGCTCCAGGCATCTGCTAATACCATCAAAGCCTTTATCTGAACTGACTGCTCTATCGCCACGTCTACGTGGCAGGTATACTTTTGATTATGAAAAGATGCCCACTCTTAGGCATATGTGCATAGTAAGACAGCGGTCCACATAAACCTATACATGTACCCCCTCTATGTAACAAATGTTAAATTGTGGGGAAATCTCTCAACAGTGAGGATAAGATATCAAATACTTACAGTGTCCTGCATGCAGTGAGAGCAGTGGGTAGGTGGTTTAGCTTACTCCCTGACTGGTTCCTGGATGTCCAACTCAAGTTTGATCCGGAGTGTCTAAAATTCCTCCAACAGACAACTCATACAGACTCTGCCTGCGCAACTCTGAAGTCAACGCCGCAGCGGTGTAATATAAGATTTAAAATCCAACATGCAGCCAGGTAACCCTTTCATTTTATGTCCGTGCAGGGGAAAAAAGCGAAAGATCGGTCAAATTTTCCCACCGCTATGTCCCGATTTTGTTTGTTTTTTGGCTTTGTTGTTTTTTGGCTGTTTTTTTTTTTTTCAAAAATGCAAGTTGTTTTAATTTCCCCCCCAGATATCGAAGCCTTTGCGCTCTCTGCTTCGTCTCCGTGCCTCTCTGCGCTGGCGCGGCTCTCTCCTTCTCTCTCTCTCTCTCCCCCTCTCTGTCTCTCTGGCCGACAGACTGCCACACAGACTGCACAGGACGGGACCTTTGTCCGCATGTGACGTCACTCACACACACAAGCCGACACGCTGATAGAAATGTCATATCTTTTATCAAGACAGGACTACATGCACATTGCAATTTTATTTAGAGAACAGGATGACACACAGTTACAAACACGGTAATGGCTGCACACTGAAATACAGTGCACAGAATACACAAGCAGCTTTAATACAGCTGAGTGCGTCACATAGCGTCACATAGCACTGTCTGCTCCATTCCCACAGCTTAGACTAAGTAGTTTCTTGAAATGTCCCTCTATAATCCAAGTGCAAACAATATATACCGAAAGGTACCATAATCGGAGCTTTTTCTTTGTGTCTTGATCTCGACAGATCAAAGTGAATTTTATATTTTGCAAACTAGCACCTAGTTAAAAATAAAAAAGCTCTCTTTCGCCCGTATGCTTTCACAAGTTGTTCCTCTTTAGTGAGCCAGAAAGCTAAACAAGTAGAGTGAATATTCATTAGCTAGTGAAAAGAAGTATGTCTATTTGTCTGAATTGCCTGTGAATAACTGCATTTCATTTGAAATAGGGCTTCATGAGTTGTACTAGAAAATCAACAAGTTGTTCAGTTTGCACTGCATGCATAGTGGTGTATTGGCCTTGACCCCCTTATGCTATTGTAACCCAGGTCCCACGTAGCTATGGTAAAGCTAGAGTATATAGTACAATGAGACTGGGCCTGGGTTCGTAGTGCTACTAGTAATGATACCTGATACCCTCTAATTTAACTAATAAGGATCACCACAACTGTATTTTACACAAATTTATCCCTCACCGGGTATTTATTTAGACAAAAAGAAATGAAGAAAATAAACAGTTACTTTTATAAAATGAATTGAATTCAAATAAACAAACAAAAATACTGTAAATGTGACTACATGGATTATAAATAAAAGATTATCAACACAAAATACCTCTTTCTTAGGTGCCAACTGTTATTTCAGTTACAACAGCTCACACCTTTAAAATGGATGGATTTCAACCTTTGATAATAACTTTGATTAAAACTACACACTTACTCAATTTAAACCAAATTTGTAACAGTGGGCCCACACACACACACATTTTAACCTGTCCAAACTACACGTGCTTGTTGCAGGCCTGATTCGAAGTTCGGGTGCGGTGAGGCCTAAAACTGATGGCCGCTTCATTCAAACTGAGCCATAAAACAAAATACGTGCACTTTAGTTCCAGTTAGTACTCACGAGTCCAATGAGTTTGTTAGTGGGGCAATCAGAAACGGGCAGTTAGTTCACCGGTAGTGAAGTCAGTCAGGGGTGAGAAAACAGTCAGGGGTGAGAAAACAGCCAGGGGTGAGAGAACAACAGGGTCCATCCGGGTAGAAACCTCTCTCTCATTTTTTATAACAGTAGACTTTTTTCTTTACACTGCAAGCCCGAAAAATTGCAGACAGGACTACACCCTCCCCCTTCTAACCGTGTAGATGTCCTCATCACACCTCTGACTTTTCTTTAGCTTTACAGGGTGATGGTCTTCCTCACTTCCTAAGAACTTCTTCGATGTCTTAGAACGTCCCTTTGGTTCACTGATGTCTGGAGGGTTTAATTTTAGTTGAATGACCATACCATGGTGCATGATGGTAACAGGCTCACAAGATGGGTGACCTGGCTTTTCATATGTCAATCTCATGGGTGGTTTTGGTTTCCTCAGGGATTTTCGGGATGTGGAGAACTGCTCACTCTCATTTCTTGTACTTCTATGAGAACTGTCACTTCGGGTTCTGTTTGAAAAGGGTGAACTTGTTTCCCGTTCTTCTTCTTGCTCTCCCATAGACTCATTTGTCTCTTGAGCATCATATTCCAGCATAGTAGGTGTATCATCTCCAGATGAGTTTTCACTTTCACTTTCTTCTACTGGTTGACTTTCTGCTGCTTCAAAATGTTCCTCCTCAGAAGTGTCATCCTCTTCCGAAGTCTGATGTGGCGTTGCCAGTTGTCTCCTGACCTCTTGCACGCCAAAACTTTGAGGATTATGGACAGCTTCAAACATTTCATCTGATGATGCTGTGTCACTTTCTTCAACTGGATCAGGCGGTTTACTGCTTGACTTTTCTGGGCACGATGTGCTCTGGTTACGGGTCTCTTAATGTGTCCTGTGTCATCCGATGGATTAGGCATCCTGACCATATAACCAATGGGCAACAGGTGGTCTCGATGGAGAGTTTTGAGTACACCTGGTCCATGTTCTGGTTTTACCTTATAAACAGGCAGGTTAGGCAACTTCTCCACTACAACATACGGTGTAGATTTCCAATGATCCTGCAGTTTATGCTTGCCTTTTATTCCAACATTCTGAATGAGAACCCTGTCTCCCTTCTCCAAAGGCAGATCTCTCACGCGTTGGTCATAGTGTGCTTTGTTCTTCAGATGATTTTTTGTAGCTGCATCTGATGCAAGTTTGTATGCGTCCTGCAACTCTTTTCTCATCCGTGAAACATACTGTTGGTAGGAGGACTCACTTTCACCATTTGGCGAGATTCCAAAGCAGACGTCGATGGGCAGTCTAGCTTCTCTCCCGAACATGAGATAATAAGGTGAGTACCCCGTCGCATCACTCCTTGTACAATTGTACGTGTGTACCAGGTGGGTGATATGCTGGCTCCAACACTGTTTCTTTGCAGTGTCCATGGTACCGAGCATTGCTAGAAGGGTTCTGTTGAATCTTTCCGGTTGCGCATCACCTTGCGGGTGGTAGGGAGACGTTCGTGACTTCCAAATCCCCAACATGGACAACAGCTCCTTGATCAGTCGACTCTCAAAGTCTTTGCCCTGATCAGAGTGTATTTGTGCAGGTAGACCGTAGTGCACAAAGTACTTCTCCCACAGGACTCTTGCAACGGTAATGGCTCTTTGATCTTTGGTAGGAAATGCCTGTGCATAACGTGTATAGTGATCTGTCACAACTAACACATTTGCAACACCCTTAGAATCAGGCTCTATCTGTAAGAAATCAATGCAGACCAAGTCTAGAGGGCCATTACTTGTTATCTGATTCAAGGGCGAGGCACGCTGACGGAGCGTCTTCCTGGAGATACACCTTCCACAAGTGCGAATATACTGCTCAATCTCAGCTGCCATACGAGGCCAGTAAAACCTCTCTTTAATCAGTTCTGTTGTTCGTTCTGCTCCCATGTGCCCACACTCATCATGCAGAGACCTTAACACCATAGACCTGTATCTTGCTGGCAAGACAAGCTGCAGGCTTTGCTTTCCACACATTTTTTCTTTTACTCTGTAGAGTAATCCATCACTCAACTCCAATTTGCGACTTTCACGGAGGAGCATCACAGTCTCTGGCGAGTCAGTTTTAGAGCAAGCAAACCCTTTATTGCTCTTGATGGCTTTCTTCAATGGCCCAATGGTAGGGTCCATATCTTGTGATGTTTCAATGTCTTTCGGACTCAGCTGATCAAGGATGTTTACGCTGACATTCACAGGAAATGCATAGGCTTCTGGTACTGCAGAGGCAGGAGCACCAAGTTGATCCACCAATCTGTCAGGTACAACTGCTCCTTCCCTGATACAGGCTCGTTTACAGAGAGCTTTAATGCCAGCAGGCGGGATGGAAGTCCATTCTCCAACTTCCTCTTGGGCATACTGTCGGGACAGCAAGTCAGCATCAATGTTGTGGCGCCCAGGGCGTTACTGTATGGTGAAATCATACGTGGTGAGGGCAGCGAGCCAGCGATGCCCTACAGCACTGAGCTTAGCCGAGGTCAATACATACGTTAAGGGGTTATTGTCAGTCCTGACAAT